CCATGACTGGCGCATTTCCACCCAGTGACCATCGCACTCGCGGAAGACTTTGTGTGGCTTTCACCAACTGACGAAATAGCGTGATGTTTGAAACAAAACGTCTGAAAACAAGCATATCAATTTGGTCATTAATCATAACTCACAGGATTTGAACAGTGGTAAAATAACTCAGTAATACACGCATACAATAACTATACAAGGCTTTTCATTTGCAGTATTATTGAATGTAAAAAATGTTTGCTAACTTGACACCCACTGAGCTCAGTCAGAATACATGGAAAGCTGAGAGGATACTATTCGATTACACAATGACTGCTTTTCCCCAGAAAGAGGAAACTGAAAACTGCAATGTGTAATCTTTTCTGCGTGGTCACTGAAACTTTAATACAGTATCTGGCAAGACTCCTATGTCTAGCAGTAACAGATTGAATTCATATTAGTAGAAACACAGATATTAGACCAGAGTGGATGCTAATACAACTCTATACAGAAATTCAATTCCTTCACACCAACATTCTGAACAACTCATCCAATCCAGATCATCTCATTATAATAAATAAAATACAAATAAAAAAAGGTTAAATCTTTGTATCTATTTGTTTTTTTAATTAAAGAGTCACAATGACACACATGTAGCTGTATTTATTCAGATCAATCCTCAAATAGATATCTGTGTCTAATGTTAAGGAACTCATTAACATTTTGTTAAACCTGATTAAAGGGAACTAAAGTGCTCTTTCATTACAAGAGAGGTAGATTTCAATTCACTCCATATTGAAAGTCACAGAGCAAAACCACCACAATAATAATAACTACAACTGATATAGCATCTTATCACATCATTTTCACAGGATACAATGAAAGTCGCGTGACTGTGTGTATTTTGTGGGCGAACAATTCCACACATTGAGGCAACCTCACTCAGAGAAGCCATGCATACAAGTAGTTTTCAAATGTTCCATTTTAAATTGTGCTTTAAACTTATTTTAGTGAGTTAGTTAATACTATAGTATTGCATTCCAATGGGAGGTCAGATAACTCAGAGATCATGGATCAAATCAGATTGGACAGTATGGCTTAACTACCCTTACCGTGATTTTAAATCTAACATTTCAAAATGAACTAATGTATATTAAAAATGATATCTAAATAAAACAAACAAATTAGTCTCCTTTACAATTATAGGAGTAGGTGATTTCTAAACCTAATGCAACTGTTTAATCTAACACTGTACTTAGAAGTTATTGCAGCTCCATTGAGCCTCATTACTATTCCAACAAAATGGAATACCTCAGGGCACACACTATCTTTATGAATTATGACTCCCAATTATCAAAATACTTTAAAAAATAATCAAACTAAAATATACATCTCTGTCCAAGCCAAGGTATAGTTTTAACGAGTTCACTCAATTCACATCATTTCCTTACTCTGATGCAGCTCCAGGACGAAAGAAGTATGCAAAGCTTTCAGCCAGATGTTCCTCTGTCTTAATGTCATTGTGGTGGATGGGTTTGTTACTGGGTCTGACGCCAGCTTTGTTTAACAAAGCAACTCCATCTGCAACAATGTCGAGGCAGCCACCAAATCCTGCAATGTGTAATTATTATGAATATAGGTGGGTTTGAGGAACAAAAATAAGAGGTTAGATATTGCTGGAATAAACATATTTGATTAACTTGCATGCAATTCTGTGAACTATATTTCAACTACAGTATGCCCTTCTCTCAAAGCTAGAGATAACTATTCAAAACGCAGGTGGTTGCTACCACTAATTTGCTTACATTTCTTCCAACCAACTCTTTGAATTAAAATTTACATCTATAAAACAAAGACCAGGAAAGGAAGCGAAACAATTTTACGGAAATTTCTCCTAGTATCCTGAACAACAATCCCCTAATAAAATTGGTTACTCACACCGTGGCTTGTGGGTTATTGCTGTGCGCAATGCTGTGAATACAGATCACTCATTCCTGTGGCTACCACATTCGCCCACAAAACAATCACTTGTGAAGGACTTTAAGACATCGTTAACCTCGTGTCTGACACTTGCGGAAATCTATCCTCATACTTAAGTGTATCCAAATTAAACAGAGCTCCGTGCATCCCACCAATAAATGGAAATTCCAGATAGATTGTCGGAATAATCACTCTCTCCCTGGAGGGACACATTCTGCTTACCTAATTCCAGAAAGTATTGGCTCCAGGTTAGCAACAGCCAAGGCTTGGGGTCCCCAGAGTGTTCATTGGGTACTGCTGGTGTCTAACCAATTAAAACCGCATAATAATCCTTGCATTTGACATAGCGCTTTATCATATCTTCAAGACATCCAAAGCGTTTCACAGGGTATAGCTTGCCATTGAGTACAGTGCCCAGCAAGGTTTCCCGCTGCTTGTCCAGCTAGAACCACGCTACCCATTAGGGCTTTGGCTTGCAAGGTCAACGGGAGCCGAGTGGGAAAAGTCCCTGCCCCCTGTGACTGGTCTGGCCTTCCAAATCCTACCAATGAGGCTGTGCTGTCATCAGCAGTGCTCTGGAATAGTGCGGACCCGCTTAGCTCAGGAACTGGATTACCGAGATCGTCACTGAGTATTGGCTCGATTCTGACATTCCTTTGCAAAACATGTCACCTTGGAGCCAGTTCAAGGAGATCCCAACGTAAAAGACATATTACTAAATGTATAGCTCATCATCATTATTATCTTACGAATGGGGAATCAAGTTTGGATTGGGATCTAAAAGACCTCCCCTTTAAGATAAGTAACAATGTAGCCGAAATTTCCCTTTCGGAAAGACTGTGGACTCCTTTTTCCTTTTAATCCTGCATAATTCCAACACCTCACCAAAGCTGCTATTCTTCATGCATTCATTTTCGAGTGAGTCATAACACTCTGTGTGTGTGTGTGTGTGTGTGTGTGTGGGGGGGGGGGGTGGGGGAGAATTCTAGAGGTGGGTAAGCATCACAGCCTGGAGTAGTCTACACATGTGCATAACAGCAGGAGGTCACTTTGCTGGTTATCAAAAGTAGGAATCGCGCTGTTTTTCTTCTTCCCTAACCCCGCTGCCGGCAACCAATTGTAACAGCTCTACCCGTGCCCTGCCTGAGATCAGCTAACTCAGCACAGACTGGAGAACCCACCTAAATCATTCCAAGTCTGTATGGATCCAGCTACTCACTGAACGGGCTTGCTCGAACATCAGGGGACCAAAGTGATAACCTTCAATGGCAATTATATTCATAACTCACAACCGTTTCTTTTCTTAAGAGCTTATAAATCCCCCTTTCTCACAAAATAGTGGAGTCCTGTGGCCCAGTGGTTAGAGCACTCGCTCGCAAGCGAGGGACCCGGGTTCGATTCCCGCAGGGCGAAATGTTGGGCAAGTTTCCTTACTCCACAGCGCCTTGGGACGTCCTCCCGACGTGAAAGGCGCTCTATAAATGGAATCTTGTTGTTGTTGTTGTTGTTGTGTCTCTGTTTACCAGCGGTAAGTAGGAACCCGGTTGTTAGTCGATGGGCGGATCGCTTTTCAGGTAACAATTCCTTCAAAGCAATAATAATTTGGTCACTCAATCCACGACTGTTTGTGGGGACGCTGCTGTGCGCAATTGGCTGCCGCGTTTTGCCCACAAATATACAGTCAATTCACTTTACAGTATATTCTCTGAAGTGCTTTGAGACGTCCTCCCCCACTCGCACAAACCCACCCCACCGCCCCCACACGCATAAAGCTACTCACTCATCACCATCCACGTCGACACCCCCCCCCCCACCCCGAGTCTCCCCCACCCCGAGTCTCCCCCCCCCCCCCCCCCGGCCCTGAGTCTCCCCCCACCCCGAGTCCCCCCCAGCCCCGAGTCCCCCCCCCCCCGGCCCCGAGTCCCCACCCCGGCCCCGAGTCCCCCACCCCGGCCCCGAGTCTCCCCCCCCGGCCCCGAGTCCCCCACCCCGGCCCGAGTCTCCCCCACCCCGAGTCTCCCCCCGGCCCCGAGTCCCCCACCCCGGCCCCGAGTCTCCCCCACCCCGAGTCTCCCCCCGGCCCCGAGTCCCCCCCGGCCCCGGGCCCCCCCCTCCCCGTCCCGCCCCAACCCACATCTTGCTCCGCCCCAAACGTCTCGCCCCATCCCCGCATCTCCCCCCCCATCTGCCCCGATGCTCACCGACTGCGACTCGGGGCCGCTGCTCCAGATCCACTTTGCTCTCGGCTTTGAGCAGCGATGACAAGACGGTCTCCAGCCGCCCATCCAGCTCGTCCTGCACCTGCTGCCGGTACCAGTAAGCCGCCAGGACCACGAGCAGCGAGAAAGCCGCCCCGAACCTCAGGCCCGGAGCCATGGCTGTGGACCCCTGGACTCGGCGGTCACCGGGCAACGTGGAAGCTGCTGTTACCCGGAAACCTGGAGCCGCCGCCGCCGCCTCCCCCGGGAGCCGGTGAGGGACGAAACGCGGTGGGATCAGGGGCCTAACTCGGCCGTGACCGGGACCATCGCTTCCCGGTGCCGCGGGTCGGGTTTTTTTTTTTCCTCCTCCTTTTTGAGGGATAACCCGGCGGCCGCCGCTGCCTCAGCCACAGCCACAGCCCCCCGGACATATGTGTCGCTCTCCGGGAGGAGCAGGGGGCGGGCCCACCGCGCCTGAGCGACACGCAAGTCGAACCAATCGGCTGAGGGCGACTGGCCTGCTCGCCAATCGGGTGCGGCGCCTGGGGCGGGACTTCCCGCGCCACGGGTTTGGTTGAGCGGCGGGTTTTAGCGAGCGAGTTAGTTGGCCGCGAGGCTCACCTGGCGGACAAAGGGCAACAAAGAGCGGCGCCTGCGCACTGCCACTGCCTGACAGCCACCTGAGCAGCCACAGGGCTCAGCACTGAGGGGGTCAGGCAAACAACCTGTGACTGGCCTCACCTCCCTCCAGCTGCTGGGACCATCACTGCGGGAAGGGATGCGTGACCGAGATGTGGACAGGAAGATGATGATGATGATGATGATGATCAGGGCAGGCCCCTGCCGGGCAGGGATTGTAATTGTGTTGAATTTTTTTTTATATTGACTGCACAGATGCAGATTAAATTTGTTGTGCATATAAATATAATCCAAGCAGTTTCCTGATGAAAGTAGAACTGTCACATCTATTCCTGGTTTAAGTCGGCAATGAATATTGTTTTGCATAACAGTATATAAGCAATAGGTATTGTTCATTCAGGAGCAGTGCACACAAAGTTTGTGATTGAAAAAGGGATCTAGATTCTGATTTCTAAAAGTGAGGTATAAATTGATGCTGACATTTTAAAATGAGTTTAACCCAACCCTCACAAGTACTATTGTTGTAAAGTTTAATTTGTATTTTTCAGTACAAAGGCCCGTACTTCTGCATCAATCATTCTGCGAGGAGCAAATGATTTCATGTGTGATGAGATGGAGCGCTCCCTACATGATGCACTCTGTGTTGTGAAGAGAGTGCTTGAGTCCAAGTCTTTAGTTCCAGGAGGTGGGGCTGTGGAAGCTGCACTCTCCATCTACCTGGAAAACTATGCAACTAGTTTGGTATGGGTTTAATTGTATTTCAAGATTATTGGGGGAGGGCACTTTTACCGTATGCTTTGAGCTGATTAACCAGGGATTACTGTCCCTATTAATTTGCAGTATTAAAAATTATTTTAAGAAAATAAGTTAAAAGTACTTCATGTATTTAACTGTTGGTTGTCTTTTTGTTTAGGGATCACGTGAACAACTTGCCATTGCAGAATTTGCCCGGGCCATGTTGATTATTCCTAGACTCTGGCAGTGAATGCTGCTCAGGATTCTACAGACCTTGTTGCAAAGTTGCGTGCATTCCACAACGAAGCTCAGGTCAATCCTGATCGCAAAACTTTGAAATGGTAAAAATTTTATTGTACTGTGGTCTGCAAAAGATTGTGACTTGAGACCCATTGTTGTCTGAATCAGCGATGAAACTAAATTTGAACATTGTTGCAATTCATGAGCAATCATTGATTTTTGGTGACCTGGTGCCCCAGATAGCAGTAAAGTGCAAAATTGATTTTCTCCATCTTGTTAAAGTAACTTTTACGGCTGAGTTGTCAGAATTCAATCGGAAATTATGAAGGTTTTACAATATTGTAGTGACTGGCTATTAAAACAGTGTTAATCAAATTCACATTTTGTTTGTGCAGGATTGGTCTTGATTTATTGAATAGGAAGCCAAGGGACAACAAACAAGCTGGTGTCTTTGAGCCTACTATGGTTAAAGTCAAGAGTCTGAAGTTTGCAACAGAAGCTGCTATAACCATCCTGCGAATTGATGATCTCATCAAACTTTACCCAGATGAAAAGCAAGACAAAGGAGTTACCAAGATGCAGTTCAAAGTGGAGAGCTTAATGGCTGAAGCACCTGAGTTCTAAAATCAGCTATTATAATTTATGTTTAACTCTTGGCATCCATCAGGTGCTTCTTGTACTTCTGTTCTAGATTGAGCAGCTTGTCATACTTGTCTGAAATTCAGTGCCACTTGTTTAGTGCTCTGTTTAATTTACTATGCTTTTTTGTTTTATTGTGCTTTGTTCACATATACAGTATTTTTTTTTTTTTTATTTATACTATATCTCGATCTTTTTTTTTAGTGCTATTTGGCCAAACCGGATTTAAAAGACCTCTTACTTTGTTACCTATAGTCAACTCTTTCAAGTTATTTGTGCAAAATTATTTCCTGTACATTGACAGTTGTGCTTCAAGCTCCTTCGGAAATAAAATGTGACAGTTGTCAAGTGATCAGCCCATCTATGTAGGGACCTTAATTTCATGAATAAACGTTGATGTTGTGCTTCTGGTCTTTTCAAATCTAATTAATTGTGTATGTTATTTCATTGTGGACATGATTTCTCCCTCACACAAATTCACTGGGGAAAACATTAATTAAAAATACTACTGGGGAAGGATGTAATAAGGCACTATATCAAATACAAGGATGATTATTATCTCCCCAAATAAGTAACCTCTCTGATTCTTGGTTGCTGATCTTACCATGGGGAATGATAAAACGCTCAAAAGTATTAGGGCAGCATTTGTAAATCAATTAAAGCAAAATTAAAATACAATGAATGTTCCCCTGCTTTCTCACATGTATTCAACCATCTTGCCCTTCTATAAATACTGGCACTTGATGTAATTTGAGAGTCAGTTTACAAGATTCAGCAATGGTACATTGAGCAATTTATTTCATAAAGAAAAAATGGTCAATCTGAATTGAGAGATAATAGGAAGGAGTTATAATAAAAGTTGGATTCCATAAGAATATTACTATGATTTCAAACTTCAGTACTTTTAATCAAATATTTAAAAGTTACACTAATTTTCAGAACCATTTTATGTGGACTGAAGTTTTGAATAGTTTTAAAACCTACCTACTTTACACATTCATTATAAAAACAAAATGCACCTACATTTCATTGGAATCAGGCTGTAACCTAAAATAAAAGCTCAATTTTATCCAGTCAGTAGCTTAGCTGCAGAGTATCTTCAGTTCTTGTAGTAAAATTTAGGTGTAATTTATTGCCTTTCAACACACATAGCTATTCCCATTCCACCTCCTATACACAAAGAAGCAATGCCACGCTTTTTTCCTGTTCTCTCCAGTGCGTAGAGAAGTGTAACCAGAATGCGGCACCCAGACATTCCCAGAGGGTGACCTAAAGCAATAGCACCACCTTGGATGTTTACCTAGAAAGACAAACACAAAAAATGCATTTTTTTTAAAAAAGAGGGAAAACCTTTTCCCTAATTTTCTCCTTACTCCACTGGCCTGCTTCAGGTCCCCTGCCTATCCTACCATCAGCAGTCAGGCTTTCAGCCTATCTGCTCTCACTTTGTGGAACTCCAACGAGAGCCCTATCACCTCAACTCTCCCTTACCTCCTTCAAGGTCCTCAAAACCTTCCTCTGACCGGTCATCTTCCTGGCCCCCATCCCTCCCGAATCCAACTTGGGACATCCTCCCGACATGAAAGGCGCTTTATAAATGCAATTTCTTGTTTTATTACATCCCACATTGACCCATTGGGTGAATCAGGAAGTAAAAAGGATCAATTGCATTTAGTTGTAGTGCCAATTTTTATATCTACATTTCTCACCTTCTCTGGGTTTATACCCAGTTCCTTGACAACAGCTACAGACTGTGATGCAAAAGCTTCATTGATTTCGAAGAGATCAACTTCATCCAGCGTCCAGCCGGCTTTTTCTACCTAGAATAAATAGTAAATCTAAGTCATTACCCTTGAATCTGAAGATGATGGAATGCACAGTGGGTGAATCATTGGTTGAAAAGGAAACAATCTACTTGACCCTACTTCAGGGGGACACAATTTGACCGCTCCTCAGGCAATGATATCAGCCATGTGAGGAGTGACCGAGCAGACCTTTTCCAAATGGGAAAGGGAGATACCTGGAGTTGAGCCATGACCCCAGTCTCGTCTCCTGCAGGTGCTTAAAAAACAATAGCAGAGTCCTGGGGGCAGAATAGCTGCCAATTCTCTCACTTGCAGGATAGCCCATTCCCAAAACAGGAAACACCATATAAAAGTAGAGTTGTGCTAATAAATGAACATGTCTGAGTCTGGTTAAGGCTCTATGCTGTGAAGAGGTATAAGTATTAACAATATTCTTGTATTACTTACGGCCTTCCTTATTGCTGCTATAGGCCCGACTCCCATAATGGCAGGATCCAAACCAGCCTCGGCCCAGGATACAATCTGAGCCAAAGGTTTCAGGCATTTCTTGTCAGCTTCTGATTTCTTCATCAGAATCACAGCTGCGGCCCCGTCATTTATTCCTGCAGAACAGCAAACAGAGTGTGTTGTCAGTAAAGTTACTGCCTTCTTTTCAACGACTTTATAAGCAAATTACAAAAGTGATTCTTTCTGCTGACCTGAAGCATTAGCAGCAGTGACAGTGCCAGATACGCCCTTTGCAAAAGCCGGCTTTAGTTTAGACATGGCTTCGAAGGTGCTTCCGTGACGGGGAAACTCATCAGTTGACACCTCGATAGGCCCTGAAGAGAGAGAGAGAGAGGATGATGTTAGATTATTAAGGCTCCTAATTAAAATGTAGCACTTCGAGGCTACACAATAGTACCAAATAAAATTTTAATTTCATTATAAGTGTTATACATTTAAAAACAAGTGTGGCACATATGTTAGTCGAAGTGAATAATGTTGGCCTCTGTCTGGTTGAGTGCCAAATAGTTTGGAAGACCTCTTGCAAGCCCATAGGGTTTAGGGCAGACTGGATGACATAAGATCACAAAAGAGGTTTGGATAAATAAAACCTTTCGGCCTATTCAATCTGAGCCTTCCAGAATATCCATGCTATCATCTCTCATTACCGCATAGTTTTTTTTAAAAAAGTGTCCAGCAACCTAGCTTCTGCCATCCCTCCTGGTAATCTACTGCAGTTGCAGCAACGTGTAAAGAAACACTTCTTGTTGTGTGTCCTAAATAATGTCCTTTACAACTCTGAAACTGTACCTTGTTTTCTGCTGGCCTGGTGTATCTGAATATATTATTGTAGGTTTACTTTCTCAATCTCATTCAGCATCTTATATACCTCTATAGAGGTCCCCTCTATGACATTTGTTTTGAGGCTTGAAAAAGCTTAGAATATGCAACTTTCTGAAACCTTCTCCTACACGCACTCACACGTGCTAGGAGTACAGCACATACCTCTCCTGGAAGGGACGGAGACAGGAACAATTTCTTTTTCAAAATAGCCAGCTTTCTGTGCTGCCTCAGTTCGGTTCTGGGACTGTACAGCAAACTTGTCCTGCTCCTCTCGACTCACATGCCACTGCATCGCCACGTTCTCAGCTGCATCGAGAGGACGAGAAAAGTAATTCGCGAAACGTTCTGTAGCTTCAAACCTTTATATAAATATGTGCATGGCCAGAGAC